AGCCCAAGTGCCCACCAGTAGATGAATGGATTAGAAAGGTGCGGTATATTTAAACCATGGAAGACTATGAAGCTGTAAAAAGAAGGATCTTTTACCCTTTGAGACAGCATGAAGGGACCTGCAGAGTATTACACTAAGCAAAAAGCCAGTCAGAGAAGACAAATATCACATGATCTCACTTAAATGTGGAAATCCAATGAACAAAATAAGCTGATGAACAAAATAGATCCAGCGACATAGAAGCATGGAACATACTGTTGAATCTCAGATGGAAGGCAGGCATGGGTAGGTGGGTGGGAAGAGAACAACCAAAGAACTTGTATGCATATATGCAAAATCAATGGACCAGATATTAGTATGGTGACGTCTGGGGTAGGTAGGGAGTGCAGGCAGGCAAGAAGGGTTAATTGGGAAAAAAAGGGGACATATGTAATACTTTCAACAATACAATTTTTTTGAAAATTTGTTTAAAAAGGATAAAAACACTAGCTTTTGAAACGTTATCATATGCCTTCTGATAATATGCACTGGTATATCAGCTATAAATCTAAGCCTGAAATATACACACAAACATACATACATATATACATATAGACACAGAGAAGGTAAACACAGGAGAATGTTAACCTTTGGAGAATTGGCTGAAGATTGACCAGGAATTCTTAATATCATTATTACAACTTTTTTATATCTTTAAAATCATTTCAAAATAGAAAGTTGAAAAATTTTTCATCCAAGCTGGAGCAATGCCCAAGAGTCAGGCAGTCCAGTGCATGACTGGAATCAGAGACACTGTCCCTAGGACTCAAGTCCCTCTGGCTCTTGGACACACAGCTCCCAAAGGGCAGTCAGAAATTACCCACACGCTTGGGGACTTGGCTGCAGTCTCTCAGTAGTAGTTAAGTGTCATCTGTGGATTCATTTCTCTGGAGCCAGATAAGGAAAAGGAAAGTCTGTTGAAGGGCCAAACCCCAGATACTGCTTCTGTGTCTGATGTTAGGTCTCCTGAAGAAAACCTGAGGAGATGGTGATAATCTGGAGCAGAAGGTGTCTGAACTCACCAATGAGGAGCCCAGGTGAGAGGAGCTGGAAATCTGCCTTTGCCGATGGACCTGCCTGTGTGCTAGTGGGTTCATGTGTGAGACTTTGTGTCCATGACCCTGTGTGTATGCACATATTATATATGCTTGTATATGTGCTCTTTGTTAATTGTGTGTGTTTGCATTATATATCTGACTCACAGTCTCGTTTTAGTGTATGTAGACCAAGTTATCAGCCTCCTGGTGTGTGGTGAGGGACTCCTGATTCATGTCTGTGACTGTAAACACTGGCATCACAGCTGAGCACCGGGAGTGAGACTGTGGTCTCTGCTGCTGGACAAGAAGATGTCGACCTCATAAGGAACCAAGGTCAGCTCAGGGAACTCAGACTTCTGCTCAGCAGTGTGTGGTGCACATGTGAGCTGTGCCTGTGGATGACGCCCTCGTGTATGAGACCCGGAAGTTATGTTATTGGATTTTCTCTGTGTGTATGTGACCATGTGTGTGTGACCATATGCATGGGTGTTGGTGGTGGTTTAATGAATATGCCTGTGACTGAATAGGCTTAAACGCCCCATGCTGACTACCCTCCCCCAGCAAGGGGAAGGTCAGAGGGAGGGAGGCTCGTTAATACACTCTCATTAATAGGAGAGTATACTGTTTGTTGTAGAGAGTGTGGCTGGGTATGCATATGTGTTGGGTATGTCTTGTAAGATTTTTGAATTGTTTGTGGTCTTGTGTGTTTTTGGTGAAGTGTGTGTAGTTTTTGAGTTATGTATATGTGGTGAGTTGAGTGTTCACCAGTTGCATCATGAAGCAGGTGTGTTGATGTGCATTGGAGTGTGTTTTGGGATGAGAGGTATATTATTGTACTAGAGGCCCGGTGCATGAAAATTCGTGCCAGAGTAGGCCTCCCTTCCCCAGGCTGCTGGCACTGGATTCCCTCTGGCACCCAGGACCCGGGCTTCCCTACAGCTTCTTCCAGAATGATGCCCAGATGGACATCTGGTCTAATTAGCATATTATCCTTCTATTATTATAGACTAGAGTCCTGGTGCATGAAATTCATGCGGGGGCGGTGGGTAGTTCCTCAGCCCAACCTGTACCTCTTGTAATCCGGGACTTCTGGCTCCTAACCAATTGCCTGCCTGATTGCCCCAACCCCTCTGCCTGCTTCTGCCTACCTGCCTGATCACCCCTACTGCCTCTGACTCAGACCCTGCCCCTGGGACCCAGGCTTCCCTCCTTCTGGCCCCAGGCAACCCGACCTGGGCTCCTTACCTCTGGTCGGCTGCAGGCACCTGGGACCCAAGCTAGCTTCGCCTGGGCTAGCTGTTGGAACCCAGGACCCTGGGCGGCTTTCCCTCAGGCCAGCCACAGGCACCCAGGACCTCAGGCGGCTTTACCCAGGCCCAGCTATGCCAGGAAGGATGTCCAGAATGACATCCAGAAGACTTCTGGTCTATCCAGTCTAATTAGCATATTACCCTTCTATTATTATAGATGTTATGTATGTCCAACTTTGTGTTAATTCTGACTTGTATGTATGCATATGAGTGTTTATGAGATGAACCACATATTGGCTATTCTTCCTTTAGGATGGAAATTGGATCAGGTGTGACTTACATTATCAAATCAGCTCTGTGTGTGTGTCTGTGTGTGTACCCATAACTCAAGTATTTTCTAAAGTGTCCTCCTTCTGGGGCACCATTACCTAAGATACTCAAATTCTAAACAACAGTCTGTTTCTTGAAATGGATCTGCTATCATTTTTATGTACCTGAGTGTTACTGAGTTGCTCAAAATTTTCCAATCTTTTCTTTATTTTTACTAAACATCCCAGTGAAACAAACAAACAAACCAAAACAAACAAGCTAGCCACATCTCCAGGCATCATGATGTGTGGAAGGTGTTGGGCAGAATTACCATTAAATAGTGATGAAACCTTGGGGAAGTTATATAAAACATTGGTCTCACTTTCACATCTATACAATGGAAAGAATGACACAAGTTATGTGAATCTCACAGAGGCCCTCAGGAAATAGTTATTGCATAAATAGACCTAATGTATTTGAGAATTTTTGTGAGTTGGAAAGTAAATAAATATGAAGGTCTATAATTATCTAGTAAAGGGAATAAAAATTTTTTAGACAACTCTGGGTTCTCACAGCTCTAAAATAATATATTGTGCTTGGCTCCTAAGCAAAAAAAAAGAAATTTCCCTGTGTAACAGTTAAGAGCATGGGTTCTAATACACAGACATATTAGACTGAACCCCATAAAGTAGCTAAACTTGGCAATTTTTAATTTATAGAAATTGGTAATACATATATATAAAGTTATAAACAGTACATATCATATATGTAATAGACACTGATATACACACGTGTATTTGTGTGCCATTCTCTCCCTGCTGTACTGCTCTGTGCCTACAGAATTTTTGTCAATTATGTTTCTATTTCTTTAAAACTAAAATTGGTCAAAGAACACAAATTCTTAGAGCAGCTGTGAAGAGGTTTTAAAATCTGGGAACGTAAGGCTGATGTGTGGATTTAATTAGAAAATGTAGGTAAAGTCCTTAGCCTGGAACCCAAATATTCAGCAGTATTATGAAAGATACTTTGTGGACTCTTCTGGTTTTGAAGATATTCTGGCCTCAAGTGGGTTTCAATGCCCCCCATCCTTTCCAGAGTGTCCCTGAGTTTACAGCTGAGGGTCAATGGGAGCCGGCAGGTTCACAGGAGGTCTGACGATGCTCCAACAACGCCCACTCAGCACTGAAGTCTCACGTGACTTTTAGGCAGAAACAACCAACACCACTTTGCAGGGGCTCACCTTCCATTCCTGCCACAGTGCATGA